TAAGGGTGAGGTGGGGGGCTAAGGGAGATTGAGAAAGAAAGGAGAGAGAAAGATAAGGGAGGAAATCGAGGGAGAAGGAGAGATAGAAGGAGGGAGAGAAAGAGAAAGAAAAATAGAAGAAATACGAACGAAAAGGTTATTCAGTCCCATAAATATAGAGTAGAACGGAGAAACAAAGTGAGAATGAAGGGACAGGGACGAAGAAGGAGAAAGAATAGAGCAGAAGGCGTAGGTGATGAGGTGGGGAAGGGGGGAGGGGAGGGGAGGCATATGACCTTGGCGGATTGGGAAGTTAAGTTTTAGATGTAAGGGCAAGCACGTAGGCGGGGGAGGGCAGGGGAAGGTGGGCATGACGTAGAAGGAGTATGGGACGTAAGAGAGAGAGAGAGAGAGAGAGAGAGAGAGAGAGAGAGAGAGAGAGAGAGAGAGAGAGAGAGAGAGAGAGTGTAATGTGACAACAGTGAGGGACAGATGAAGGAGAGAAGAGTAATAATCGTAATGCTGATGATGTATGCTTAGTGTGGAATATATTTATTTATTTATATATTTATTTATTTATATATTATATACGCTGTACATTTCCGTAAGAGTTCATTGTCCATGACAGCTGATTGAGCTAAGCCGACGCTTCCGGACAAAGAGTACGGTGATGCTTCATATTTTACAGTTGTGGCGATGATAATGGATGGGAAAGTGTAGAGGAACTGATGTTGCAGAGGAAAAGGAAGAAGAAGGGGATTGGGGGAAAGGTAGAGAGGAGGGGAGGAAGAAGAGGAGAAAGGAACAAGGTGAGGAGGAGGAGGAGGAAGAGAGTGGCGAACAAAGGGAGATGAGAGAGAGAACGGGGAACTGGAGGAGGGGGAAAGAGAGAATAAAGAGGAACAGGAGGAGGCACTGACCTTGATGTTGGAGAAGGAGGCAGGGTTGAGAGGGTCACGCCTAGAGGGCAGGTGAGGAGAGGTCACGGGAGGTCACGGCCAGCACTCCGCTTTTGGCTCCGCTGGCCGGTGCACCGCCTCCCTCTCCCCCCCCGCCTGTGCCTTCCCTCCCTCTGCGCCCTCCCTCTGTGCCCTCTCTCTCTGCCCTCTCTCTCTCTGCCCTCTCTCTCTCTGCCCTCTCTCTCTGCCCTCCCTCTCTGCCCTCTCTCTCTCTCTCTCTCTGCCCTCTCTCTCTGCCCTCTCTCTATACCCTCCCTCTCTGCCCTCTCTCTCTCTCTCTCTGCCCTCTCTCTGTACCCTCCCTCTGCCACTTCCCTCGCCCGCCCGCCCGCCATAGCACGGATGTCAAGCGGGCGTGGGCGGCGGGACGAGAGGGAGGGGGGGAAGGAGGGAGAGGATCATGTAGGTGGACGGAGAGGGAGGGATGATATTGAGAGAGAGAGAGAGAGAGAGAGAGAGAGAGAGAGAGAGAGAGAGAGAGAGAGAGAGAGAGAGAGCGAAAGCGAAAGAGCGAAAGAGAGAGAGCGCTGCGAATGAGCGAGAAGGAGGGTAGAAAAAGAAAGAGAGAGCGATAAGAAAAACAGGAAAGCAAAATGAATAAATAACCCCTCGGCTGCACTGAGCGGCGACACGTGCAACCAAGAAGTAAATCTTGAAAGGCAAGCAAGCAAGCAAAGACGCTTTCGTTCTCTCCGCGTGTCCCACCTGTGCTTGAGAAACAGTGACGCGGCGGACGTTTTGTTTTGTTACCTTGTTTATTCAACTATTTTTGTCATTTTTATGATTATTTAATTTTAAATGTATATATATATTGTAAGTTTTTTTTTGTCTTTTGAGAATGGGGTTTCGTGTTTTTTTTCTTTCTTTTTTCTTTTCCTTCTTTCTTTCTTATTTTCTTTCTTTTTCCAGGTGCGTTTTCACAGAATGAGGTTAATGATCGCGCATTGTGGAGCGTGACCCGTTTTGATTGTGAATTTGACCCGAGCCGGAAATTTCAGGGTTTTTTTTTGGGGGGGGTGAGGGGGTCCTTTAGCATTATTATAACAAAATAAAGTCAATAAAGTCAGTCATTCATCCATTTAAGCAACCAATCTCCAACCCACCCACTCACCCACCTACCTACTTACCCACCTACCCACCAACCTACCTACCTACCTACCTACCTACTTACTCACCTACCCACTTACCTACCAGCCACTCCACCAAGCAGCCAGCCCGTCGAGTCCAATGCATCAGGTGGGCAGCGCTGATGAGCGTGCGGGCGCGCGGGCGAGCGGATCCCCCGTGATAATGCGCTTTTCGGGGATCGGTGATCGCGGGAAGCCGGCCATGATGTTCGGATTAGCGCGGCGGTGCTGTCATTGGCTCTTCATTATTGGCTTTTATTTTAAATTTCAGCTAATTAAGTAATTGGTTTATGTAGGTAATTAGTATTTTGTGTTTGTTTTGCGCTTGTGATTTGTTCTGCTTTTTGTTCCCCGGCGCGATGGGAGGGAGGGTGTTGCACGCACGAGTCGGAGGGTTGTACGCATACGAACGCGATTATGCACGTACGCGCACTTCATTATGGACGAAGGCGCGCGTGTTTCCACTTCTTTTTTCGCGCGTGCGGCATCCCACGTCACGGATTTTCGTCGAATATATCAAGGAGGCTGAGTAAGATGGACGGAGAGATGAGAGAGGCTCGTCGCATATATTGAATGATGATAAGACCTCGTTAAGAGAGGAAGACTGCGAAATCGTCGGAGATGACGCTTTGACCCCGACTTTCGCTTTTGACCGATAGATGGCACTGCTTTGCGCGGCTCGAATCCCTCTCCTCCTTCCTCCCTCCCTCCCTCCTTCCCTTCTTCCCTTCCTTCCTTCCTTCTTCCCTCCCTCCCTCCCTTCCTTCCGTCTCTCCTTCCCCCTTCTCCATCCTACTCTCCCTCTCCTTCTTCTACTTTTCCCCAATCTTCTCAGTCTTCTCCTGTCCCTCTTTCTCGTTTCCCCTGTCTTCCTTTTCCTCTCCCTTTCTGCCCCCTTTTCTACCCTTGCGCCTCCTTCCCCCCTCCCCCTCTGGGCTACCGTTGCGGGGGAAGGCGGGGATGAGTGCCAACCGGGAGGCAAGAGACGCTCGCGATGCGCATCAAGAACGCGCGCGCGATGAAAACGCTGCGATTTTTCAACGAAATGAATGAGAGAAATAGAACATATTTATGGAGTTGTGTGTTCTCTTTATCGTATCCTTTTTTTTTCTTTCTCTCTCTCTCTCTCTCTCTCTCTCTCTCTCTCTCTCTCTCTCTCTCTCTCTCTCTCTCTCTCTCCTCTCTCCTCTCTCTCTCTCTCTCTCTTTTTATCTCCTTTTTTTATTTTATTTATATTACCCGCACTCTCCGCCGATGTTTATTTACAGATTAGGTCGTCTGGCGTAAATAATTTACCTTAGAGCGAGCCAAGGGATAGCCCACTATGCTTACGGGGGGGTGGGGGGTGGAGGAGGAGGAGGAGGAGAAGAAGAAGAAGAAGAAGAAGAAGAAGAAGAAGAAGAAGAAGAAGAAGATGATAATGATGTAGATGAAGTTAGGGGGATAGGGAGGAAGGGAAGAGGAGGAGGAAGAGGAGGAGGAGGTGGATGGGGGGGTTGGGGAGGAGAAGGCAAGAGGTGAATGATGCTGAAATATGGGCGTTTTTTTCGGGCGCCGTAGTCTTATAGCCTTGGCGACGGGTGCGCGGCGTGGTGCGGTCACGCCTCGGGAAACTGGAGCAAGGGCACCGGGGCTGGGTGAAGGGAGAGAAGAAGAAGAAGAAGAAGAAGAAGAAGAAGAAGAAGAAGAAGAAGAAGAAAAGAAAGAGAGAGAGAAGGAGGAGGAGAGAAAATAATAATAATAATAATAATAATAATAATAATAATGATAATAATAAAGGGAAAGGGAAGAGAGAGAGAGAGACCCACCTGCCCTTTCAACCCCCCCCCCCCCCGATTTGTTTACAAAGAGCGGACGTGTAAGAGAGAGAGAGAGAGAGAGAGAGAGAGAGAGAGAGAGAGAGAGAGAGAGAGAGAGAGAGAGAGAGAGAGAGAGAGAGAGAGAGAGAGAGAACCGAGGCCCGTGTTAGTCAACACAGACTCTACGCCGCCAGTTATAACGAATATAATGATGGTGGTGATGATAATGATAATGATGGTAGTGATAATGATTGTAATTAAAATTAACGATAATGTTAATCGTTTATTATTCCGAGTAACGGCAAATATAGAAGGAAATTCATATTGTTATAACTACTACTACTACTATTATTACTACTCTTTTTGTTCATATTGTTATAACTACTACTACTACTACTACTACTATTATTACTACTCTTTTTGTTATCTTCCCTCTCAACTCTTCCGTTATTCCATTCTCTCCCTTACCTTTACTCTCTCTTTCCCTCATTCCATCTCATTTTCCCCTCTCTCCCCCTCTCTCCCCTCCTCTCCCCTCTCTCGCCCTCCCCCCCTCTCTCCCCCTTCCCCCCTCCCCTCCCCTCCTCCCCCCTTCTCTCCCCTCGCCACTCTCTCCTCCTCCTCCCCCC